TGCAAGTCATGAGGATGAGCAGGAGCATTGTCCATTACCAGGAGGCACTTGAGTGGCAGTTTATTTTCCAGGAGGCAACTTTTCACAGTGGGGCCAAACAGACCATAAAACTACTCCAGGAAAATTTCCCTAGTCACCCATGCCTTACTGTTTGCTCTCCACATCACACACATTAGCCTTGACAACACTGTTTTTCTTGAAAACACTGGGAGTTTCAGAGTGATACATGAGTAAAGGCTTCACTTTGCAATCCCCACTAGCATTACTACAAAACATGAGTGTTAGCCTGTCTTTCATAGGCTTGTGTCCTGGGAGTGCCTTTTTCTCCTGAGTAATGTAGGTCCTGTTTGGCATTTTCTTCCAAAACAAGCATGTTTTGTCACAATTAAACACTTGTTGGGGTTTTAAGTTTTCAGTGTCTATATACTCCTTAAAGTCCTTAACATATTTCTCGGCCGCTTTTTTGTCTGAACTGGCAGCCTCACCATGCCTTATCACACTGTGTATGCCACTACAATTCTTAAATCTCTCAAACCAGCCTTTGCTGGCCTTAAATTCATCAATATCATCACTATTTGGAGGCATTTTCTTAATGAGATCATCATGCAACTGCCTTGCCTTTTCACATATTATTGACCGAGAAACACTGTCTCCTGATAATTGTTTTTCGTTTATCCACACCAACAGCAGTCTCTCCACATCTTCAATTTTTGCGATCTCCGTTTTGAAAACACACTTGCACTTTTCGCAACAACAACTTCCTTGATTGCCTTTCTTTTCGCCAAGATAGTAGTGATGGTTGACTGGGGTTTGTTATACCGTAGCCTTTCCAACTCGGAGATACGCACTCCTCTTTTGTACTTTTCTATTATCTCTTTCTTCATTTGCATAGTAATTCTCACCCTTTTTACCACAGGATTGGCACTAGAAGCTTTCTTGGGGCCCACGGTGGCTTATTTAGCAGTTACAAGCACTAAAAACAATGGAATAATGCAAAATATATCGCAGGTACGCGTGGAATCGACTGCAACGGCTCATAAACAATGGCACACTGGCTGTACAGTCTTGGAGTGGCTGGGCCCGCTCAGGCTGCATGGACATGTTCGGGATGAAAGCCTTTAAATGAGTTTTTCGGAGTTGGTCGAGCCAATATTTTGACGCCAAAGAGAGCCGTTAGTTGATTTTGGTGTTAGGCGATGCCGCCATTGATCGAGGGTCCACTGTACCTGTAGAAATAAAGATATTATTATTATTAATATTATAATTACAGTGGATCCTCGGTTTTCGTTTGCCCTCGTTTTCATTGATTTCGGTTATCAGCGACTTCTTTTCATCAATATATCATCTCCATTTTCGTTCCTCACCTCTGATTTCGTCTGCCGTACCAAACATGTCCGCCTGGCACTTGCACACAAAGCCTCCCATGCACACATTCTGAGTCAGTGTGGCGTGGTTTCTCGGCGAGTGAACATTACCCTTCGCGTTCGTACGAAACATTTCATAATAATCTATTGTTTTTTGTGCTTGTTTAGTGTGTGTTACTGCTAAATAAGCCACCATGGGGCCAAAGAAAGTTCCGAGTGCCAGTCCTTTGATGAAGGTGAGAAACATGATAGAATTCAAGAAAAACTTGTTGAAAAGTACGAAAGTGGCCTGTGCCCTCGAGAAGGGTTTTGAAGGGTTCGAGGCTGATCCTGACAACCCTATGCCTGTTGTGGAATCTATTGTGGCATTCAGGAAGTCCATGGGGTTGGATGTGAGTGGCCAGGATGTGGAAGAATTGGTGGAGGACCACAGGGAAGAGCTAACCACTGAAGAGCTGCAAGACCTTCAACTGGAAGAGCAACAAATTGCAGCTGAGGAAATTGCTTCAGAGAAGGAGGGAGAGAGAGGAGAGAATGTGCCTTCTTCAGCAATTAAGGACATTTGTGCAAAGTGGAGTGAGGCGCAAAGTTTTGTGGAGAAATATCAACCTAACAAAGCTGTTGCAGGCTGTGTCTGCAACATGTTCCACGACAGTGCCTTGTCCTACTTTAGGTAAATCTTAAAGAGGCACCAGAAACAGAGCTCTAGACAGATTTTTTGTGTGACAGGGGTACAGTGACTCTGAAGCTGGTCCTAGTGCCAGTAAAAGGCAAAGAAGGGAAGTAATCCTGGATAGGGCCTTCATACCTGAAGTCCTTATGGAAAGGGATTTCCCTTTCCAAACAATAACCTCTCTTCCTTCTCCCCTCCTCGCCATATCCCATACGCCAACAAGTGTCTTCAGTGAAGGTAAGTGTGACGTTAAATGTTTATTTATCATTAAAATTAGTCATTTATATTTATTTCTCATTGTTCTTTGTATGTAAAACTATATTTATTCTCTATAAAGTGTATTTTTTGTTAATACTTTTGGGTGTCTGGAATGGATTAATTGGATTTACATTACAGTATTTCTCATGGGAAATATTGCTTCAGTTTTCGTTGAATTGGGTTTTCGTCTGACTCACTGGAACAGATTAAAAACGAATTCCGAGGTTCCACTGTACAGTGGGCCCCCGCATAACGCTATTAATCCGTTCCTGAGAGCTCAATGTTATGCGAAATTATCGTTATGTGAATTAATTTTCCCCATAAGAAATAATGGAAATCAAATTAATCCGTGCAAGACACCCAAAAGTATGAAAAAAAAAATTGTTTTACCACATGAAATATTAATTTTAATACACACAAACTTAAGAAGACATGCACAGTTACATGACACTTACTTTTATTGAAGATGTGGTGATGATTGATGGGTTTTAGTGTTTAGAAGGGGAATCCCCTTCCATTAGGACTTGAGGTGTCAAGTCTTTTTCCGGGGTTGCTTCCCTTCTTCTTTTAATGCCACTAGGACCAGCTTCAGAGTCACTGGACTTCTGTCGCACAACATATCTGTCCATAGTGGCCTGTACCTCTCGTTCCTTTATGACTTTCCTAAAGTGTTTCACAACAGTGTCAGTGTAATAGTCACCAGCACGGCTTGCAATAGCTGTCTGAGGGTGATTTTCATCCATGAAGGTTTGCACTTCAAGCCACATTGCACAGATTTCCTTAATCTTTGAAGTAGGCAACTTCTTCAATCTCTCTCTCCCCTCCTCCGAAGCAATTTCCTAGGTGTGGTCTCTTGCTGTTGAAGTTGATCTAGCAGCTCATCAGTGGTTAGTTCTTCATTGTCCTCCTCCACCAACTCTTCCACATCATCCACACTAACCTCCAACCCCAAGGACTTTCCCAATGCCATAATGGATTCCTCAACTGGCATAGGATTCTCAGGGTTAGCCTGAAACCCTTCAAAATCCCTTTGGTCTACACATTCTGGCCACAGTTTCTTCCAAGCAGAGTTCAAGGTCCTCTTAGTCACTCCCTCCCAAGCCTTACCTATAAGGTTTACACAATTGAGGATATTAAAGTGATCTCTCCAAAAGTCTCTTAGTCAATTGAGTTTCTGAGGTCACTACAAAGCACCTTTCAAACAGAGCTTTTGTGTACAGTTTTTTGAAGTTTGCAATAACCTGCTGGTCCATGGGCTGCAGGAGAGGAGTGGTATTAGGAGGCAAAAACTTCACCTTAATGAATTTCATGTCCCCATAAAGTCGCTCTGCCACGTCTGTAGGATGACCAGGGGCATTGTCTAACACCAGGAGGCACTTAAGTTCTAATTTCTTTTCAGTTAGTAATCTTTCACATTGGGGGCAAATGCATGGTGTAACCAGTCATAGAAAAAGTCCCTAGTGACCCATGCCTTACTGTTTGCCCTCCACAGCACACACAAATTTTCCTTGAGGACATTCTTTTGCCTGAACGGTCTGGGAGTTTCAGAGTGATACACTAATTAAGGCTTCACTTTGCAATCACCAGTAGCATTGGAACACATCAACAGAGTAAGCCTGTCTTTCATAGGCTTATGTCCTGGGAGTGCCTTTTCCTCCTGAGTAATGTAGGTCCTGCTTGGCATTTTCTTCCAAAACAGGCCTGTTTCATCACAATTAAACATTTGTTCAGGTTTCAGTCCTTCAGTTTCTATGTACTCCTTGAATTCCTGCACATATTTTTCAGCTGCTTTGTGGTCCGAACTGGCAGCCTCACCATGCCTTATCACACTAAGTATGCCACTACGCCTCTTAAATCTCTCAAACCAACCTTTGCTGGCCTTAAATTCACTCACATCATCACTAGTTGCAGGCATTTTTTTAATTAAATCCTCATGCAACTTCCTAGCCTTTTCACTTATGATCACTTGAGAGATGCTATCTCCTGCTATCTGTTTCTCATTTATCCACACCAATAACAGTCTCTCAACATCTTCCATCACTTGCGATCTCTGTTTCGAAAACACAATTAAACCTTTGGCAAGAACAGCTTCCTTGATTGCATTTTTGTTGCCCACAATAGTAGTGATGGTTGATTGGGGTTTACTATACAACCTGGCCAGCTCGGAGACACGCACTCCACTTTCATACTTATCAATGATCTCTTTCTTCATCTCTATAGTAATTCTCACCCTTATTCCTGTAGGGTTGGCACTAGAAGCTTTCTTGGGGCCCATGGTCACTTATTTTGCAGATAAAATCACCAGAAACACTGTAATAATACGAAATGTTCTGATTGTATGCTTGGATGTTACCGCGGAGGCTGGCTGGTAAACAATGCCACCGGCGGAACATGTGAGGCTGGCTAAGGGCGCACATTAGACACGTCTCAGACGAACAGCGTTGAGCGGGTTTTTTAGCGGTATGCGAGGCAAAATCTTGGCGATAAAATGTAGCGGTATGTGGATTTAACGTTATGTGATGCCAACGGTATGCGGGGGTCCACTGTACAAGTTAATTAAAATAAGAGGGTAAGGTTCATCTTGATCATGGGTGTAAGGGAACACATGGACTAGAATGAACTGCATGAAAATGTAAATGTTGAAAGTAGCATGTATTGGAACAGTTGTAGCTAGATATACAGTATCTATTTTTCTAACCCACCAGGTAGCAGCTCAAACTGGCCATTCAGTCATCATGGTAGATATTGATGATGCTCTTGTAAGTAAAGCACAAAAGAGAATTCAAGACTCTATTCAACGTGTAGCCAAGAAAAAATTTGGTGAAAATGAAGAAGCTAGCAAGTTCATCTCAGAATCCCTTTCTCACCTCACAACATCAACTGATGCTGTTACATCTGTAGGGTCTGCAGATCTGGTAGTGGAGGCCATTGTTGAAAATTTAGATATTAAAAAGAAGCTCTTTATGCAGCTGGATAAGGTTAGTGTGGAATTTGCATTTATTAGATAAAGTTTTGTATTAAAATCTTGTGACATTCAGATGCTATCTTTGAAGAAAATTTCAATGCATAATTGATGTATGGTAATAGTTTTTATTAATGTATTTTAAAATGTATATTGTAAAGCATAGTAAAGTAAACTTAGGATTCTAATAAATATACATGTACTGTACTTTAAAATGTAACATATTAATTCTTTTGTCTTTGCTGCATTTGTGATTTTATTGCTATTGTTCTCTATGGTAACTTTCTTGATCATACATATGCCACTGAGCATTTAATGCAAGTTTCTTATTAGTTGAAGAGAAGGTGGTTTTGTAGTATGCACTCATGCTCATCTTGCCTCTGTATACTCATGGTCATTGTCTTCCACGAATGTTCACAGTGGTTGTCATGTGAATACTCCGCCATTGTCTTGTCACTGAGCTTGAAGTTGAAGTTAGATTACTTAAATACTAAATGTAATATAAAAATGTTATCTAAAGAAAAGATTACTAAATGTAATGCATATTTTGATGATAATAATTGGGATTTTGTTACTCTTGAGTGCCTGCTCTTTCAAAAATTTACAAGCACTCACACACAGACAAAATGCAACAAGGATGAAAAAGAAATACTGAAGGTTACACTCAAGAATGACAGTGTGATCATCAGGATCATGAGCTCTAGAAAAGAGATGTGCTTTCAACTGAGACTTGAAAGCATGAACAGATTCCCGACTCTTGATAATTATGACATTGGCAACCTGTTGAACAATCAAGAATAATTAAAGGTTCTTTCTACGAATGATTTCACCCCAACAGCATGAGGCTGAATCAGTCTAAAAGAGTCAGCAACAATTTGAAGAAACCTTGCCAAGTTCAATGTAAAAGGTACAAGCACATCAGTAAGATATGCTGTTCTCGGGTTCATTAAACTTATCAACTTTGAATATTGATACAATTTAAATTCAGTTCTTGCCATGGTAGGGAGTTGGTGCAACTCATATAAGTTGGAACTAGTAGAAACTCTAGGTGAGAGCAAAAAAGACTGAAGTCTTTTAACCCTTAAACTGTCCAAGCAGATCTATGTTCATATGCGTAGTGCCCCAAAAGTAGATCTACTTTTTTTTACATATTTTCAAATATAACAAAAAAAAGAAACGTAGATCAAAGTTTTTTTTACACGTTTTCAAATGTAAAAAAAGAAAAAGATCTCCTTTTTTTACATACTTTCAAATGTTGAAAAAACGTAGATCTACGCTTGGACAGTTTAAGGGTTAAGCAAGTAATTAAGCAAACCCAAACTAACAGTTGCAAAAATATCAAGAGGGAATAAATGCATGGATGAGAACTAAGATTCTCTGCTGATTAAGGTATTTTCTGAGTGCATGGAAATTTATAATATCAGTATGAAAATTTCAAGATTTAGCAATTTGGTTGACATCTTACAACAGTAATGTTAATACAAAGAGATAGCAATACAAAATTGTATTAATAATTTTAGTTTTAGTAATTATTAGCGAGATAGAAATATAGTGGTGACAGTATGTGGAAGAGTATAAACGCTGAGTGTAATCTGGATAAACAGGTTGCTTTAAGCATTTTTGACATTTATATTCATTAAATTCAGTAGATAGGTTTTCCAGCAGTATTTTGGAAGCAGTTGGCAGATAGACTTAGAATCTTCTCCATGAGAGTAACGTATTTTTGGGCCTTTTATTTGTATGGATGTTTTCCTCGGGTTGAATTGAATACATGGGCTGTCAAAGAGAGATTTGCTGCTTATACTTCGTCTATGTATTTTCTTGCAGTTCTCCAAGAGTTTTAGACTAGAAGCATGCCAGAGTATTGGTAGTTTCAGCTGTTTTGATGGCATTGTTATCAACCTAAAATTGAGTATTGGTATCACTAAAAATTTTGATATTATCCCGTCTCTATTCTTAAATATGTATTACTGCTTTTATAGATAGGTTTGCCTATGTATGCGGCAGGAAGGTATTAGAATTTGTCATGAGAGGAAGGATAGACCTTTATAAGTGTTCCCCGGTTGAATGATCACTCTCAAAATTGCGAACTCATTATTTATGAGTTAAGAGTTTTAGTAAGTGCGGTTTGTAGTGTATGTTTTGTGGGTCCTAAAATGATATTATCATTTCAAAATATTCCTTTATTTGAAAAAATTCTGCAGTTATAGTTGCCCTTGCTTTACGTTATGGAGTGTATGAGTTCGTTAACGGGAGGCTAACATATACTCCATTAGTGATGTAGTAATCTTTCCCAATTGAAACTTGAAAGATATGCTTGCACTTACTGGAATAAGATGGTTGATCAGTTTTGCTAAATAGTAAAACAAAAAACACTGAAGAATCTGATGATCACAAATAAGGCTTCTTGCTTACAAAATAAATGTTAAGATGGTGACCCACAAGAGTAGGTATGATCTGGCTTGTTTGGGTTGCATCTGCTCTCTCACTCACAAAAATATGTTGGTAATAGAGATCCTGCTTTATATTGCTTGTAATTTTATATTGTTGGAGCATTTGAATTGAGGGTTGTTGACAGGTATTTTTTGCTCTGATTTGGTTAAGTATGTTGAAATTGGTTTTTTCGTTGATGGAGCTCGTTTTATTTTCTAGTTGGATTAGTGTCATTGCTAGAGATTTCATTATCCATACTGAAAAAGTTTATTTTTCATCTGGAAGGTACTGGAACTTAAGAAATGTTGGGTTGTAAAGTAATTATGACTAGAATGTGGTCTAAGCCATGGTTTCCTGGAATTACTGGCAAGAACAGCATGAAACAGTCCTGTGAAATGGAAAAATACCTGGGCTTCCTGAGACTACAGACTTGCCTACATTTGTGATCACATTCCTAGTTCTGGCTGTTGTAGAGGGCTGGTTGGTAAGCATGAAGTGCCTTGCTAGACTAGGAAGGTTCTAGTTAGAAAGAGCAAGATAAGAAGAGATACAGCTAGAGAACTAATTGAAAAAAAATTTATTTCAACTTTTAAATATGGATGCAAAATTCTGGTGTAATAAGTGTGTGAAAATTAAAATTAGAACATTAGAATAGTTATAAGGATGAGTGGAAGGTTAAGGTGGGCAGATATAATGAGTGAATGTGACACAGTGGTATGAATGTGAAAGTTCATGAGAAATGCCTGTGACCATAACTAAGTGGAAGGACTTCATTGGGAGGGAATGATTTAGACATTTTGTTTATGATTACTTAGACATATAATGCAGCATGAAATTATTTGACATAAATCATTGCAGGCAGCTCCTTCACACACAATCTTTGCTTCCAACACATCCTCCTTATCCATTGCTAAAATAGCAGATGCAACTGACCGCAAGGACCGCTTCGGAGGTCTTCATTTTTTTAATCCAGTGCCAGTAATGAAGCTGCTTGAGGTAAGTGTACAGCATGGAGAGTTTGTGTGATGAATGCTTTGTTTGTTTTGGGCTTAATGTTTTGCTATTGTGGTGGAAAACTAACAGCATGGCATTAGATTTTTTTTACCATCAGTATAATTCCTGGTAGTTAGGGATACACACTAAGTACTTTCTTAATTGAACAATACACCATATCAAACAATTGTGATAGATTCTTTTCTGTCACATTTCTCTTCATGTGATGTTTTTAATTTGCCTGAATGGTAGTTAATATTTTTTACAGAACTTTCATTAAGCAATGCAATCTGTTCTCCATTGGCACCATATTTCAAACACAAAAGTGTATATCAGATGGACAGCAATATACTTTGCTGAAGTCCCAAGATACACTGAATCACTAATGATTAGATTCAACACTAATAATAATAGATTTTAAATATTTGTATGAAATTGCATTCATGACAGTTTTATTAAATACTGTGAGAAAAGGTAAAAAAAAAAAAAAAAAAATAAAAATACATTGGCATTACCTCCTTCAATTTCCATACTTGAAAGTTGTTCAGAGCAAACAGGCCATATTATGTACCCAGGGAAATAAAACTGTAAATCTGGTGAGTTGCATCAGCACTGTTTTCAAAATTTTAGCCAAGTGTAATTAATTATCGTCTTCATTTCTACATAAATAATTGGCTCATCTTGTAACCTTGCTGACTTGCTTCTTATTGAAGCTGGAGGAATGCGGGTTTTTTTGTGTTGCAGTCTTTGCATTTCTTTAATGATGTGTTTTATCATCTGCTACCATTTATCACATATTTTATGTAGTGTGTATACTCATAATTGTCAACAGTAATTTTATTGCAAAAGAGTAAATCTTTTGTTTTTTTCTGAATAAAAATTGAAAATGGAAAGCAAGCGTAATATAACAGGGGCCTGAAGACGTGACTAAATTTGAGCCTACACACGAGAGAATAGGTCTGAGTGGTAACTGTGTACTATATAAAAAAATACTGCAGAGCGCAGTTCATAATGAGAAAAAAGGCATCTGTGCTTTTGCTGTAAAACAGTGCCGGAAAGTACCTTAAAATTGAGCTCAAAGTAGCAGAAATGTTCGATTTTTGCCAATGTTCAAGAATAAACAAATGATGACACCTTCCAATACATGTCCAGTTGGCCAGTCTAATATGCAGTCATGAATGGGTTGACATTATTTATACAATTATTACAAAATGCAGGACAGTGTATCTTCTATTTTTTGTGTGAATAAAAATTCAAAACGGAAAGCAAGCATAATATAAGAGGGGCCTGAAGATATGACTAATGAAGAGAGAAAATATTATTTTAGTGCTAGGAATGGGTGCATTGTTTATTTTGGACCCTATTTTGAAATTTGTTGAAATTGACCAAATTACCAATCTCTGGCCACTTTATTGGGTAGTTGAAATAGGTGAATGGAATGGTTTCTTGTACTTGACAGAATAGAAGGAATACTAGTGAAATAGCTGTGAGTATGGTAGATTGTAACAATGGAATGGGCCAAAAATAGGACAAAAAGTGGGTGAAATCGCCGATGCGTAAATATTGCTGTTGGGTTAAGTGTATTCTAACCTAACCATTCTGTAATTCGAAAAAATCACTAATCCGGCACACTACAGGTCTCGATGATGCCAGATTAGTAATGGCCAACCTGTACTACTTAATTTTTAAACTGTTTATTATGGTATATGTCTGTCTGGAGGACTGGGTACAACCTACATCAGTGAATTATTTTTTGCTGGCCTAATGTACAGTAGGCATAACTTAATTTGTATCCTGTATCTTTGGGCAGTTGCATGAAATTTATTTGCATTAAAAAAAAATTATAGGGTCTGTACCATTCAAAGAGGTTTAGTAACAGCATAGCATGTAATTTGAAAGGATATTTTATTGCTTTTTTTTTTTTTTAACATACCATCTGCCTCCCATCAAGGCAAGGTGACCTGAAAAAGAAGAAAACTATAGTTTTTATTTTTTTTACATTGTCATTTTTTAGTTTGGTTATAATATATTATGTAGAGTGATTGTACAGGATAGTCCACTACAAATTTTCAGCCTTTTAGTGGTGGTTTTAAGAACTATGCCGTGTACAGATACCTTAGTTGTTTCAGTTTCTTTTTCCAGTTTTCTTCCTGGGTAATATCTTGAAGGCCTCTGTATCTTGATATACAGTACTAGTAGCACTGTAAGTAAAAAACTTGTGTCCATTAGTTCATAAACTGATGCTTCCTGTTGAAATTGGAGTGATTATAATTATTTTAATTATGAATGATGTATAATACATAATTGTAACAATGATTGTTAACATTTATAATTGCATCATTATATACCACATGATTTTTGTTAATCATGAATTATAAATATGTACAGTATAATTATTATTCTGATTATAGGGACTGGTTATACAGTGGTGCCTTGACTTACGAGTTTAATTCGTTCCGTGACCCAGCTTGTAACTCAATTTGCTCGTATATCAGATCAGTTCTCCTCATTGAAATTAATTGATATGCCACTAATCCATTCCCACCCCCCAAAAAACCACCCCAATTTTTTTGTTACAGGTTATTAAGAAAAAATGTATTTATAAATAAGAAATTATTTTTGCCTTTTTTGCCAGGTCCCAGCAATGTTTTAGAAATGCTGGAGTATATATATGAAACTCCTTGAAGCACGGTGTAAAATGAGTGTCATTCCACTGCAATGGAGTGTCACTCGTGGCGTGACATTTGATGATCGTGCATTGCCTTGGATTTATTTTTCACTGTTTCTGTCTGTTTATCTCAGTCTTTCTGTCTTCCTGTTTCTCTACTTGTCTCTGTCTCAGAACCAACAGGTATTACACATGATGCAGAGTTGGTCATGTCTGATTACTGAACAATTGAAAATATGTATTATTTGCCAGTAATGCTTATTATGCCTTATATCTACAAGCATAGTATAGCACTTTGTCTGGATTTTATGGATTATCCTAGGTAATTTACACTGTATAACTGTATTTATGTGTACCTGTGAGATAGAGGTAGACAGACACAGAGACAGACACAGACATACAGACTGACAGAAGGAGATAGACAGCCAAAGCAAATCAGCCAGCCAGCCACCCTGCCGAACATGTATTACACGTTCCAGAATTGTTTCTCTTTACTTAGGGTATACATTATAGAAGATACTGGCAGGATGACACTACCAGTGGAATCAAAATTGAAAGGATGTTACACATTGATTATTATTGAGGTCTTTGATATTTCCTCTCTCCTGCAAGTGACGGCATATCTGAAGCTTGCTCATAACTATGATCACAACTCAGAGCAGAAAATCGACTGAGTGACAATGGCTCGTAACTCAGAAAACTCGTAAGTTGGGGCACTCGTAAGTCAAGGTACCACTGTAGTTCTATAATGATGATAATCTTGTACTGGCCTGTTTAGCTTTATACAAGGATCCATTCCATGATGATTTCTTGCAAAACAAATTTAATATGGTTTGTTAAACTATGTATATACACCTACCATCCGACTTACGACCGAGTATGGTTCCGAGAAACCGGTCGTAAGTCGAAATGGTCATAAGTCGAACTTTACTACTGAATATCAACAAAACATTTTTGTAATGACTTTATTTTATTGTTTTATTTTGGTATTTCATGTTTTACTTTACTTTTTATGTTGTTAGTACTGTATCTTATACTGTAAGGTTTAGGATAAACACTGTGTACAACACAAATAGTTGTTTATTTCCCAAAAATTTGGCATAAAAAACACGGTCGTAAGTTGAGTGGTCGTAAGTCGAGCAGGTCGTAAGTCGGATGGTAGGTGTATATAATATAAGAAGAATAACATGTGAAAGTATTTGTTTCTCTAACTGCCAGGAACTCAATGGTAAATGACTTTACAAACATTGCTTATTAACCTTAATAGCACTGCTTAGCTTGCAAAGGAGCCTAGCTTCAAACCAGGCTGTCAGGGTATATGAACTCTTGAAACCAGTCAAGGGTATACCAGAGGTAGCTTAACAGTCTAAGTTTATTATAGACATATTTGTAGTGCATGCACACATTGGTATATTTCCAAGTGGTTCTGGACCATTAACTTGATGATGATCCAGGACTGACCAAAACGTTGTCATAAGGTTCTTACCTTGTATTCAGGTTTTTGGTGAATTGGTGCTTCAGACAGAGGGCATTCAACCATTCTCTTAGTTGAATTGTGCTTTAAAAAACTGTTGATGCCTTACATCAGTTATCACTATCCAGGAAGAATATTGCAGGATACTCCACTCAGTTTGTTGATAGTACTGAATATATTCAGAGCATTCCTACAAAGATGTGTCACGATAATAGTATAGTGGCATAATATAAATATTTTTTAATGAATAATGATTTTCATATTGAATACCTGAAACTATTAGTTGTCTTAATTATGTTTTACTCTTGAATTTATGGGTATCATTTTAGTTCATTATTGCAGAACTCTTATATGAAAATTGTAAATCACGAAACATGTAATACTGCAAGTGAGAAGTGCCTTGAAATTAATGCTCAGTTAAATTTGTTTAATAGTATTAATAAAATTCTCCTCAAGCATACAGGAGTGAGGTGTTTTTTAATTCTTATTTAATTAGACTTAATTACTTAATTAATTAGGCTTGCATTTCTTTGCTTTTGTCCCAAACATAATTTTATATACTGATTATGTACATTCACGATGTTATTTGTGGATACTAAGTTAATCATACAATAAATTCATGAGCAAAGGGAAAAAATAGACATTAGAGAATATTGTTTTAAATTTTCTTATTTTCTAAATTTTCTTACTAAGTTAATCATACAATAAATTCATGAGCAAAGGGAAAAAATAGACATTAGAGAATATTGTTTTAAATTTTCTTATTTTCAATTATTTGCAAGAATGGAAGTCCTCATTCATTTCTTGTCATATTCATTAAAATTTCTTAATTACTGTTTGACAAAAACCATGAACCTTGAA